GCCCACAGGCAGATAGGCCCACATACAAGTACCCGGATGAAGACTGTTACCCATGCTATACCATGCTTCAAGACAAAATTTCATTTACTTATAATTAGAAACACATATTTCACAGTACAGAATTACATATTGCTTTGTGATTAATCACTGTGCTTTAATTATGTTAAATTTATAACAATGAAAATACATCCTGCATATCAGATATTTACATTATGATTCATAACAGTAGCAAAATTACAGTAGCAATGAAAATAATTTTATGGTTGGTGATCACCACAACATGAGAAACTGTATTAAGGGAAGCAGCATTAGGAAGGTTGAGAACCACTGCTCTAATCTCTCCAGTGCTGTCAATGTAACCCCATATAGATCTTCAAAGAGCGCAATGCTCAAAGCAAACAATCTTTACAGATTAAGCCAAACTGTTATTTTATTTAAATAAGATTTCAGGGTATATATTTTTATTTTAAGGCTTAAAGATTATTTCTAAACAATAGTTTGGGGGAGAACCCATGCTTTAATTACAATGCAATACAATATTCTAAAATGCAGTGATCCTAAGGTCAACGGTTTATGTTTATCCCACTTCCTATCATCTATTTATATGGTATATTGGAATCTTAACCGGAGGATTGGTGGCATAGTGGTTATGCATTGAGCTGCTCACCACAAGATGAGCAGATCAGAAACACCCACTGCTCCATGGGGAAAAGATGAGGGTTTCTACTCCTGTCAAGTCACTGTCTCAGACCCCCTGAGGGCAATTCTATGCTGTCTTATGGCGTTACTATGAGTTCTCATGGACTCGATATCAGTGAGTTTGGGTGTTTGTTTTCGTGGGTGGTGGTTTATTGGAATTTAAAATTATGATAGGATACAGTTGTTCTCATCTATTCCACCTTCAGAAAATGGCTATAGAAAAGTTAGATCATTTGACGAAGCTCAGACAAGTTAGAGAAGTTGGAGGTGTATTGTTAATAACTTCATTTAAGCCTCTGAGGGCTTGAATATTAAACCGTAAGTGAGATGTTCTTAGAGAAGTAGAGAAAGCAATCTCACATCATTTGATCTTTATCCTATATGTACTCTGTCAGGTGACTGTTAATACTGTCAACAAGAAGGCAGGGATGGTTCTTTGGTAGAAGTCTAGCTTTTCCTGCAGGAAATGCCGTTCAATTCCCCGCCAGTGCGACTCATGCACAGCCTTCACCCATCTGTTAGTGGATGTTTTGCATGTTTCTATGATGCTTAACAGCTATCAGCGGACCTTGCAGACTAAGCCAGACTAGGGAGAAAGACCCAACATTCTATTTCCCAAAGTAAGTCCATGAAAATCATCAAAGAAGAATTTCCAGAATGCTGTGAGGATTAAAAAGTAGAGAGTTTCACAAGGGTGGGAGGGTTGGTGGGGGAAGGGCAAAAAGAGGAGCTTATACCATGGGCTCAAGTAGAAAATGTTCTGGAAGGGATGATGGCAACTATGTACAAATATGCTTGATTCAATTGATGTATGGGATATTATAAGAGCTGTAAGAACCCCCCAATTAAATGATTTTTTAAGATAATTAAATTTAAAAGTAGAGCGTTATGTTGAGGAGCTGCCGTTCAGACCAGTCAGCACAAAATAGAATTACCATATCCTTTGAACCACTGGATTTCTCAGGGGGCTTTTATGTGGAAATCTGTGGAACTAACAGGAAATCTTCCTGTTTGGTTAAAATTTTACAATTAGTCACAAGGTTATTATGAGACCCCGAAGTTTCAGTTGAATCATAAAACAAAGAATAATTTGTTTTCCACAAAGCAGCTGGTCGTCAGAATGCCAGCCTGCCCAAAAGCACACGTAAAGTTTTTTAAAAATCATTTTAACAAGAAGGGGTTTTTCCCATGGAATTGATGGAACATTCTGATTGTAATCCTAATCAAATATCATCCTAAGAATAGTCACATGTTTTAATATTCCTTCCTTTGATTTCTCATAGTCTACACAAGAAGAAAATTATGCAATGTTCTATAGAAGCTGGGTATCAGTTGCTATAAACTGCCTTGAAATATTTCTGTACAACAGCCACAAGCGTTCTTACCCTTCCACAGAGCAACGGGGAGGAGAACACAGTCATAGTAGTAAGTATATAAAGTATCTAGAAATCGGATTTCTAGAATTCTAGGCTAGAGGTAAGAGGCTAAAAGGTAATTACGCTCCCCCTCTAATATAATGGAGGCGCCCTGGTGACATTGCAGGGTAAGCATTGGATTGCTAACTACAAGGTCCTTGGTCAAAACGGAGAAAGTTGAGGCTCTCTGTGCCTGCAGTGATCTGCAGCCTGGGAAACCCCATGTCAGGTCACTGCGTTGAAATCAGCTCGATGGCAATGACTTCGGTTGTGATTATGTAAGGACGCCCTGGTGGCATTGTAGTTTATGCACGGAGCTGCTCGCCTCGAGGTCAGTGGCTCAAACCCAGTAGCTGTTCCATCGGAAGAAATGGTTTTCTGCCCCTACTCCCATGCGCAGCCGCAGAAACGCAAGGGAGCAGGTCAACCCTGTCTCATGGAGTGGCTGTGAGCCAGAATCCACTGGATGGCAATTGAATTTGCTTGGTGAATTACAAAGATTTCAATCTGAGAAGTCAAGATACAAATACACTCTTTCCCGGAAAATAAGACAGTGTCTTATATTAATTTTTTCTCCCAAAGATGCGCTAGGTCTTATTTTCAGGGGATATCATATTTTTCCATGAAGAAGAATATGGTACACATTTATTGTTTATTGTTTATTGCTATCGCACTTCCTGTCTGTTCTGGCTGTGCTGCGGCCAACAGTGAGCTGCGGCTGCGGTGCCCGCCGCTACGGTCTGCAGTCCAGAGTTAGGGTAGCTTTTGGGGGGGGCCTTATTTTCAGAGAGGTCGTATTTTGGGGGGGATGCCTTATATTTCAGCGAGAGGCAAACTGTACATAGGTCTTATTTTGGGGGGATGTCTTACTTTCGGGGAAACAGGGTATCTTAAGGGCCCTTTTTAGGCACCAGTCAACAACCCACACCACCTCATTGTTTCTATTGGAAATGCTCAATTAGGAGACATTGTTCTTCCTGAAAGGACAGGAGTGAAATGGTGAAGTCACACAAGCTGCATACATTGATAGATGCTCTTGCTGCAATCTGAAGGAGTGTCCACTCTTCCTGCCCCACCACCAAGTGTGCATGAGAGGATAAACACACACACACACACACACACACACACACACACACACACACACACAGTCCGTCCCTTAAGTAAATTCCAGATTCTGCCACCAGGTGGCAGGAATCATCAGCACCAAGAAGCTGAAGTTCATAATGGAGCCAGGTAATACCTACCAGTCAGGGTTCTGGAAGGAACTGTGAAAGCTCCAGAGCCTTGGAACTGCGTTTGATATGAAGAGACTAGATCTTTATCACACGTGATGTAGAAGAGCCGTGTTCTGCTTGTCTACAAACGTGCTTAATTTTATGTTTAACTTTATATGAGTGCAAATGCCAGCATTTCCAAAGGTGGGAAGAGAGTAAATGCACCCCTGGTATTCACCGACAAATGTATATAATGTGACTTCTAAAAGTTTGTTAAAAATGGAATTAAAAGATAGTAGGATTTTTGAAACCCCTACATATGTGTGTTTATATGTGTGCATATATATGTATATGGTGTATGTGTGACTCATATCTATAGTCTCTATATGTTTTTTTCATCATGTGCACATACACCCTATCTTCTTACATCAAGTACCCAGAGGTACTGCATCGGTTGGGAGTAATTAGCATTAGTACAACATTAAAATCACTAATTCACTAAAGATAACCAATCCTACAGATAATGGAGATAACAGGAGGCATTACGTTAAAAAGGTATAGGAACACCTTAATATCATTTACTGGTTACCTTATTTGAATTTTGTTGTCAGCTGCTGTCATGCCAACCCAAGAACAGACAAGCAATATACTGGCTGGTCCCTCTGCATGGTCATTTGTGGATTGAACCATTGTGATCCTCAGGGTTTTCATGGACTGGTTTTCAGGGCTCACCACGCTTCTCTTCCAAATCTGCTCAAAATCCAATCAATATGCAAGCTTCCACTAACAGACTTGCAATGCAATGGGAGCAAGAGCCACTCACTCACTGCCATCGAGCCTATGCCAGCTCATACTCACGCTGCAGGACAGGGTAGAACTGCCCTGTGCTCTTCCAAGACTGTTCCTCTTTGGGGGAGTAGAAAGCCCCATCTCTATCCTGCAGAGGAAGAAAGAGTAGAACCCAAAAGAGATAAAAGTGAAATGAACCAAATTGTTGCCTTATCTGGAAACAGCAGCTAGGGACGCAGGAACCCCGCCATCAGTGAACTTTACCCAGTTCCCTAAAATAGACCCGAGGCGGCATTATGAAAGAAGCCGTCTGGTGTCTGGTCTTGACTACCAGAACTTGCTTTAAATCAAAGAAACACACTTCCAACATGCCACGATGCAGCATCAAAGAATAAAGCTATCCAGCCGGAAATGAGGTTTCCTGTATTTTGCTTTATACATTGAATTTTTCTAGGTGAAAACCTATGTGGTGTGCTAGAAAGGAAACTCCACTTACTGAAAACGTACATGGCCTTTTATTGGTGCTGCTAGTTGCTAATCAAACCAGATCTGCCTCCTAGTGACCCCATGTACTTATGTGGCTTAAAAACACAAGGCAAACAAACTTCATTATCGATCTTGACTCCACCTCCTGGAAATCCTTTCTGTGACACGGTCAAGGTCAATTGCCCTCAAGTTGGCCTGCACAGGTCTTCTCTATCAGAACAAAACTCATTTGTATTTGTTCATGAGCCCAAGAGCCATTAGCTAATACTTAAATCAGGAACTTCTACTCTTTGCTTGTCCTTTGTATCATGAATGGAATGAGTTTTGATTTGTTTTGTTTTGCTCTAGTTTTCTTTGTTCTGACATTTTATTTTTTGCAATTTCTTCTTTACCTTAGAATGAGGAAGACATTCCTGAAGACCAAAACACACCAGGGAATAATGCACGAAGGAGCAGAGCTGTGCGAAGGGGAGATTCTGGAGACCCCAAGCAGGTGCGACTGCATCGCCGTGAGTAGAGGCGTAAACCACAGAAACCGCTGCGCTGCCTGCACCTAAAAACAGCAGGAACGGAAAGCGTGCTCGCAGCCGCATGCAGAGGAATGAGTTAAATAGCAATTAGAGTGTGTAAGTCAGAAACGTGAAGAAAACACATGCCCAGACAAAGAAGTTTGGGTTTTATATATCAAAGTTTCTGGATGGGAAGGCTTTCTCTGGCACTCCACTGGGACAGATCTCAAGCTCATTGCAAGGTAAAAAGTTTTAAAATAAACAAAAGTATCTGAAGATCCTTTTGTCAGACAAGAGAAGGCTCCAAGATGTGGTTCTAAAACTGTGTTCCACCACTCCCTAGATTCATGAGGGCTCCTTAGTTGTCCCTGGGGGGACAATGTCCTCTGCCATCTCATCTCCACCCACACAATGCCACTTGTCCAGGTTAGGGGTACGATTCCATCTGCAGAATGAAAAATGAGCAAATCATCTATGTAGCAAATCCCTTACAAAGCAATTCTGAATGTCTTGTATTTGCTATTCATTGTGGGGAGTTTGTGTCATTTGGGGGGAGAAGTTTTCACATTATACAAGATTACCCAAACCAAACCAAATGTCGTCAAGTTTCTATTTATCATGATGTTCCCTATTGGTCCAGTTGGGAGGATGTCATTCTTCCTTACTTTGACTTGTAATCGATACTGAAGGCTGCCATCCTTGATCTTCATCAGCAAGTGAAATGGACAAAAGGTGGAAATTGTCAAGGATTTCATCTTGCGTGGATCCAAAATCACTGCTCATGGAAGCAGCAGTCATGAGATCAAAAGATGTTGCATTGGGTAAATGTGTTGCACAAAACCTCTTTGGGGAACTGAAAATCAAGGATGTTACTTTGAGGACTGAGGTGAACCTACCCAACACATGGTATTTTTCATTGCCTCATACGCATGTGAAAGCTGGACATTGAATAAAGAAGGCCAAAGAAGCGTCGATGCATTTGAATTATGGTGCTGGAGAAGAGTATTGAAGGTACCATGACTGCTAAAAGGACAAACTGATCTGTCTTGGAAGAAGGCTAGAGTGGTCCTGAAAGGCAAGGATGGCAAGGCTTCATCTTAAATACTTTGGGTATGTTACCAGTAGAGACCCGTCCCTGGAGGAGGACATCATGCTTGCTAAAGTGCAGGGGCAATGATAAAGAAGTACCTTAAGAAGACAGATTAGCACAGTGGCTGCAACAATGTTGGGCAAAGGAACAATTGTGAAGATGATGCAGTGTTGAGCGGTGTTTTGTTCTGTTGTACATAGGGTCCCTATGGGTCAGAACCAACTCCATGGTGCCTAACAATAGCAGCATAGGGTTTCCAAGTCTAAATCTTTAAGGGGACAGACACCCTCATCTTTCATTGAGCAGTTGGTGGGTTTTTGAACTTCTGACCTGCGGTTAGAAGCTCACTGCCTAACCCACACCACCACCAAGGTTTCTTTATAAAAGAATAACTGGTAGAAATGTTGGACAATGTTACAGTAGTATAATGTATAAAATAACAAATTACCTGAGGAGAAATAAAAATAAGCACTCAACATCTTGGAATATCATCTTCCATTATTTTCATGCAAACATTTACCCACATGTGTATTACCTGTCTTGGAAATCATGGTATACATGTTCTTTGGCAGCTATCTCAATTAGTTTATTATAAAAAGTGTTCATGTGACTAACTACTATGCAGTAAACAAAAGAGTAATCAATAATAGTGCTGGACATCCCATCATTCACTGACATTGAGTTGCTCCCAACTCATAGTGACCCTGCAGGACAGGGTAGAACTGTCCTTGTGATTTCTGAGACTGTAGCTCTTTACAGGAGAAGAAAGTTCTTTCTCTCAGACATCCCATAGATAGCAGGTAATTTTGGGCAATTTCACTATCAAGCAACAATAAATCATCTCAATCATAGTTTCCCAAACTTATTTGGTCTACCGCTCCTTTTCATTAAAAAAAAAAAAAGTTACTCAGTGCCCCACTGCCAATTAAAACCTTTCGTACTGTAGCCCATAATCCAGGGTAAAGTGTAGGCATCTGCTTTTTCAGGGTCCCTGAATTGTCCCAGTGCTTCCCCAGGTCGTAGTATCATCCACTTTGGAAAGCACTGATCTAAATTGAACAGCTGCCAAACTATTGGTCATGCTAGATAGTACATGCAAGAAAATTGTAACTCACATCTCCACCCTGTCCTTAGAAGGTAAAGCTTGGGCTCAGCTATCTTCTGGCCCATTGTCCTCTACTTTCCTGGTTTTTTGGGTCCAGCCCAGAAAAAAGAAGGTAGCTGAGTCAGAAACATAACAGAGTTTGACATCAATGGACTAGATGAGAATCCTTTCCACTCAAAAGCATTATAACACTAAATTTTTATGTTAAGTAAAGTGAATCAAAAGTCACATTGGAGCTGCCAAAAATGAAAAGTTGAGATTTGGTATTATGCCTCTTAGAACATGTTCAGAATTGAGATACAGATACATATAGGTAGCTATAGATATTTTCCTCTCTAGGATTTCTTATCGTTGCTCAGTGTCTCAAAAGGTTGCTTGAAATACTATTGGAAAATGGAGGCAATAGGAGGTCTTCTGTGTCATCCTGGAAGCGAGATGGGTTGTGGATACTTGAGAGCTCACACTTCACCTAGAAAGATGACTCAGAGAGGTGGTCCATCCATATAACTCATGCAAGTCATTAGATCTCTTGCTATCAAAACAGAGGAAATAGTTCTTCTTAGACCACTGATAGCAGGACTGTAGGTTCCAATGGGGTGTTTATTGGGCCTTGAAGGTGCTGAGCTAGTGGTCACATCTGCAGACAAAGCTGCGTACAGCCAGAAATTAAAACCAGTTTTAATATTGTCCTTTCAAAACTGTTGCTGGCAGAACATAAAGGGAGATTTATATGGCCCCTGCTATTAACTTACTTTAGCACTTGCCTGGAAACAGAGTTAGTGTTGAATGATGGCAGTAAAGACAGGAACAAAAAGCAGACATATGAGCCATTCCTGAAAGAAAATACCATTGGCTTCTTTGGAAGGAAATGGGGAGCTAAGTGTGATGCTGAGCTTTTATGATTATAAGATGGATTAACACAGTAGCTGCAACAATGGGCTCAAATGTAAGAACAATTGGGGGGATGGTGCAGGACCAGGCAGCATTTTGTTCTCCTATACATAGGGGTCACTGTGAGTCAGAAATTACTTGACAGCACTTAACAACAACAAGGGGGAAATAGTGTGCAGCAGACAATAATAGCAATCTTATTTAAAAGAATATTTTGAACTATCTTTTCTAAGCATAGGAGTTTGGAGTACATTTTGCCCAGAATTTTAATTTTTCCATCTGTGTTAGTCCAGTTAACCAGACAAACAAATTTATAGACACTCAATGTATATAAGAAAGAGCTTTATATCAAAAGAGTAACTGTGTAATGAGAAACATCCCAGCCCAGTTCACATCAAGTCCATAAGTCTGACATTAGCTCCTCTTCAGACTCACACAACACAGGCAATGATGCGAATGCAGGGGGATCTCAAGCCAATGGTAGAAAGTCTTGTGGATCCCGTGACGGTGGAATAAGCACTGGTGTGGCATCCATGTGACTCCTCCAGATCCAGGATTCTAGCTCCATCCGCGTAGCTCCATGTGTCTTGTCAGCAGGAAGACAAAGCAGACTGTGAGTCTGACCTCCAGTGAGCTATTTATCTCCATAGCACTTCCAAATGAGGTCATCAAGCTGCGACCTGATTGGCAGGCTAAAGTATACCCGTTCGCTTTTAATAGTCTCAAGTTGACACCAGATTATGTAACTACTACACCATCTTTGTTCTAATGTTCCATTTCCAGGGGGAGGAGTGCATCAACGTTGAGCAAGATTCTCCAAAAGACATAGAGAATATAGAAGACAATGAAGATGTGCATCGTAAAGGGTATGGTTTTTAAACCAGAGACAGAGCCACACCAACCTTCTATTAGATTTTGCCACTTTATCCTTTCCTAATTTTTAACAGCAATTATGATTTATTAGAGAAGATTACCACACCAATTTCCCTTCCCACTATCTAACCAATGCCATTTTCCAGGGGGGGGAAAAATAGTGAAGCTCTGGGACAAACAATGTGGCCAATTCAAGCCACTAATATCCTGGGAAGCCAAGATACAAGATTTCACTTTACCCAGGACAGTCTCTACTTAAAGGTGTGAAGTACCCAGTAATTGCTCCCTGTCATGCGGAAGTATTGAATTAATCATCTCAATGAATTAATCTTCTTAATGCCAATCAATAAGCAATTAGTTTCTCAAAATTCAATTCACTTTAATCCCCCAAAAAAGATCTTCTTATCTTATAGTATTCTAAAAGCACTCAGTCTTAGTTACCGAGTGCTACTGTAACGAAGATGAATCTCACAAATGGTAGCTCAGAGAAATATAGTGTCTCATAGTTTGGGAGACTAGAAGTCCAAATCAGCACCAGCTCTCAGAAAGTCTTTTTTCATGGAAGTGCCAGGCACACCTTGGCATTCCTTGGCGTGTAGAGAAATCTTCACATGGTATGTGTGTGTCTTTGTATTTATTCTGCTCTTTGTATAAAACATTAACCAGAAGGGACTGAATTTAGAGCCCACCCTACTCTGGTATAACCTCAATGACATAACAAAAGAAAAACTATTTCCAAACAGGATCATACTAACAGTACTTCATCTTACCTATAGTGCAGGGGCACAATTCTATCCACAATACCCTCCAAGTCCTTACAACAACAGGAGTAAGAAAGACACGATCATGTCCATTTGTCTGGCCAGGGAAAATGAAGCTCAGGGAAGGATTTACCCACAAATAGAATTAGATTATAAATTCAGATTCTACAAATCCTAATCCAATGTTGTCTGACATTCTACCTTAACATTACAAAATTGGTCCTGTTTTTAAATTTCTATTTAAATTTTATTTAAGTCTCCACTTCTCTGAGATGCTTTTGCTGAATTGGGTTGTGGCTCTTGTTGCACAGACATTATCAAGAATATCGACCACCCACCTCAGAACCCTGAGCTCAAGTTCATCCTTCATGAGTCTCAGAAGGACAGTGGAGGCTGAGAAATCCCCTGGGGTGGTCAGAGGTACTCAGGTTACACTTAGCTAATGGGACCTAACCAACCACCAGGAGGTAGGGAATTGCTCACTCTTGATAACTAAATAGTCCAAATGTCTATTTCCTGTCACTTTATCCAGAATCCAATTGCAGTAATGGACTGCACATATTTGCTGCAATTTAAAAATCTAGTAATTACAACCTAACAGACGTGCTCTATTAAATATCACCCTCTACCCTTGGTATTTTTAATATGAATCAGTAACAGGATAAAGCAACATTCACTTTTCCTACATTGAACCATGAAAAATTTAATCTTCACTACATGTTCATGCCTCCAATATCTTCTAGTGTAGTATTTCTAATTGTCAATACTAAAAAAAACAATGAAACTTTTCAGAAGCAATGCTTGTTATTGCTATATGTGATAGATGCTAATGTTTCCTTTTCGTTTTTTGTTTAATGTGAGAGAAAGACAGGGCTTTCTACTCCCACAAACAATTAGTCTCAGAAACTCACTGGGGCAGTTCTATGCTGTCCAGTAGGGTTGCTGTGAGTCAACATTGACTCTATGGAAGGAAGCTTGGTTTTTGTTATGCTTTGTTTTGTTTAATGATGATTATCATGAGTTATGTGGACTCCATAACCCGCAAGAGATCCCAATCATGGTTGCAAAGTACTGTCCGAGATAAGTGAAATATCCTCCCATTGCATTGATCTATTCAATCAATGTTGAGCACCTTCATGGCCAAAGTTCTACTCCTGGTTCTCTGAGGCTTACAGATACCTCTTTTCCAAGAGGTTATAATCAGCCATGGCTTCATAAAAAAATACAATCAAACAAGATAGTAAAAGAGCAAAAGAATGCTTCAGTCCAAGGAGATCGAAGAAGGCTTCATAGAAGCTAAGTTCTGGAGATGGGCCCTGAAATTTGAAGATTTGGATATGTTGCCATGATTGCCCCAGAGGAAGGAAAGTGGGGTCATTAATCAGCAGAGAGGATGTCTCCCAGCTATGGGCTGAATCAAATTCTGGAGATTGAGAGGCATCGAAATGAAATGTGAAGTGGTTGTTAGAGAAATGCTAACTTGGCAATGCAAAGACTAAATGAGCAAGTAGATCCCTTTCATTAGGAGAAGTCAAAGCTTGTGTCTGAGGTGGGTGATGAAGATTAAGAGAACCTACAAGGTAGCCAAGTTTCAGTTCAGGTGTGGAGGAGACCAGGAACATTTTAAGAGTAAGAGTAAGACAGGACAGTAATTGTGAGTAAGCCCCTGGGCCCTCTTCATACTTACTTCTGGTGGCTATGAACATTACTCAACCTAGGAGAAAAGTGGTGATATTGCTCACATGCTACTCATCAACCCTGTAGCAAAGCCCCTGATGGAAGTGAGAACATGCCAACAAAAAGACATTTTACAACCCAATGGTAAAAAGCCCTCACATCCACAAAACTTCACTTCACATTTCAAGCATTCAGCTTAAATTGAAGAAGGTGATCCTCAAGGACAGAGAGGCACCAACTTGCCAGAATTTCATGGAATCAAGGGGATGACCAAGTTTGTTGGGTTTTCAATTTTTTTAAATAAAAATTTTATAACCCTTATTAAATAGAAACCTTATTCTTCTGTAATTCCTTTCAGCTTTTTGCTAGTTATTCATCTCCCCTGCTCTGTTCCTAGAAGCACATTTTCGGACCCTCTACGCACCTCTGGGCTTGACTTGTTCATTCAATAGTGTTGACCCAAAATTTATTCTAAAATAGAAATGAGCCCTTCCCATTCCTAGTTTGTAGAGTGTAGCATTTCATGAATTTGTGTGGTGTGTTTTCCAAAGCCAACCATCAAACCGAGCCTTAGTACGCCCATTTGTGTTTTGTTTGGGGGATTTACTTCTGTGGACCATTTTGCTTTTATGTTGTTGCAGGTATCTGGGAAAGAAATATGATGCCGTTTGTGGAATTTATAAGAAACACAGAACCACTCTTAAGAATATCTTCTGGGGCATTTTATTAGCAGGTGAGGAAAAAAGGGAATGGGGAAACCCATGTCTCTCTTTGGGAATCTCCCAAATATTAGTTAGCTTTGAGTGGAAAGATGCGAAACCTCTCCTCCTTCCAGATCTCAATGGATTATGGAAGGAAAGAGGAAGGGTAGTCACAAAGACCCTGGGTCTTGGGACTCTGCATGAGATACCTAGGCAACTCATTCTTTTTATCCTAATTATAAACCAGCAGCTAATTTTTCTGAATTATCTACCCTCATAGCTCATATAGAGGTTGTTATTATAATGTAGATTTGAGAGGGTGGATTAGTTAACACAAATTCAGAAAGTAAGTAATTTTTAAGTATCTTGAAGACTTGGAATCACCCTGGTGGCATAGTGGTTAGAAGGTGGCAGTTCGAGCCTACCAGGTGGTTTTCTGTGCCTGGAAAGATTTACAGGCTGGAAATACAAACCAAAGGGGCAGTTCTACTCTGTCCAGTAGGGTTGCTATGAGATGCAGTGGACTCAATGACAGTGAGTTTGGGAGTTGGGGGGTTAGTTTTCTTTTCTTTTTCTAGGGAGGCATGGTGTTAACTCATAAGGTAAAAAACTAATTGTAGAGGGGAATGTGAACAATTGATAGATGATGCTATTTTTAAAACATAACATAAAGAGGCTGCGAGCATCCCGCCTGCTTCTCTTGCCTTGGAGGCAGGGCCACGGCGGGGTTACCAAGTCGCCTCCAACTCCTGCAGCCACCACGTGTTTCAGAGCACAGCTGGGTGCCCTGCGGCTCCCACTGGGTGCCGGTGCGGAAGAAGACACCACACCTTTCTTCTGAGGTGTCTCCAGGTGGCCTCCAACCTCCACCCTTTCAATTAGCAGACACAGTAACACCACCAGGACAGTGCTCGCTTAACAGATGAAAATGCCTCTTGTTTGCTTCTCTCCCTCCAAACAAAGGGGTTCAGAGTCCACATTCAAGAACGCTGAAGACATAAACACTACCCCCAGGGTCCACAGACATGGTCCAGGGTTCTGAACCCCACAAACTACCTAGACATCCAAAACAGGGGACCACATGCTTTTTTAAAACTTAGGCTTAATTGGCCAAAAGATGGAAACTACACAACTCTGCAACTGTAAGTGAAGGCAGCCAAAGAGCCAGTGCAATGCATGAATCACTTGCTTCAGATATTTTCCAGTATAATTGTATTTACCAAAACAAGTGACAGGACAAAGTTCACCCGTGGACCATAGAGTACCATTAACCCTTGCTCCAGGCAAGGGACTTCGGTGGGTTGTATGTCATTCAATGTTGACCTCCCATAAAGAAGCCCTATTTTTCTTATGCCAGAATCTCTTCTTTGAAAGCACCACCTTGGTAATGGTCCCAATTCTTCCATTAGAATTTATATGAGGATGGGGAACTAGATCTATGAGCCTATATTTATAGGTTTAGTATTAAGATAGCAGAAGGACATTGGGCCTCCACTCAAGTACTCCCTCAACGCAAGAATACTTTCTTCTATTACATTGGCATTCTATGATGCTCACCTTCCCGACACAACCGCTGGAGGCAAAGCGGGTAAATAAGAAAATGTGGTGAAGAAAGCTGATGGTGCCCGGCTATCAAAAAGTATAGCGTCTGGGGTCTTAAAGGCTTGAAGGTAATCAAGCGGCCATCAAGCTCAGAAGCAACAAAGCCCTCATGGAAGAAGCACACCAGCCTGTGCGATCACGAGGTGTGGAAGGGATCAGGTATCAGGCATCATCAGAACAAAAAACCTTACCATAGTGAATGATGGGGGGAGTACAGAGTGGAGACCCAAAGCCCATTAATAGGCCACTAGAGATCCCCTTGCAGAGGGGTCTCAGGGAGGAGACCAGCCAGTCAGGGTGCAATGTAACAACGATGAAAAATACAACTTTCCTCTAGTTCCTAAATGTTTCCTCCCTGCTCCCACTATCATGACACGAATTCAATCTTGCAAGTCTGGCTAGACCAGAGGATGTACACTGGTACAGATAGGAACTGGAAATACAGGGAATCCAGGGCGGATGAGCCCTACAGGACCAATGGTGTGAGTGGTGATACAGGGAGGGTAGAGGGAGAGTGGGTAGGAAAGAGGGAACCAATTACAAGGAACTATATGTGACCTCCTCCTTGGGGGATGGACAACCGAAAAGTGGGTGAAGGGAGACGTCGGACAGGGCAAGATATGACAAAATAACAATTTATAAATTATCAAGGGCTCATGGAGGAGGAGGGAGCGGGGAGGGAGAGGAAAATTGAGGACGTAATGCCAGGGGTTTAAGTGGAGAGGAAATGTTTTGAGAATGATGAGGGCAATGAATGTACAAATGCGCTTTACACAATTGATGTGTGTATGGATTGTGATGAGTTGTATGAGCCCCTAATAAAATGATTTTTAAAAAAGAACACCAACAGTGTTCCCACATTAAAAAAAAAAATTCAAGGCCAAAAAAAAAAAAAAGAGTTGTATGAGTCCCCAATAAAATGATTAAAAAGAAATCATCAGTGAAAACAGGGAGTAAAATAGGATCTTCCCACAAAACTTTTGGAAGCCCCCTTGTATTACCTGATTCAAGTTTAGGCCAAACCTGAACCACAAATCAGAAAAACCATTCCCCCTTGACTTGTGGCAGTTGCTCACTTGCTGAGGCTGACTGCCAGGCCCAGTGACAGAGCATCATAACTCAGGAACTCCAAAGGTTTTATAAGAAAAAGACCTCACCCCTGCCTTTCTAGCATTCCTTGTGAGAACATTGGAGACTTGCTTTAAAGGCAAACACACACACACACACCCCAAATACCAAATGAATTAATCAGCAGTGCTAATAGCCCTGGCAAGAGTACTTCTGCATTCACTGTGGTTTTATCACCCCTCTCTTTTCGAGTGCAGTGAGTGGCAGGTGGGCGCTCCAGGGAGGGCATGTTGCAGGCTGTGTTGATGATGCTGTATCTGCATTGGTTTCCTCACAGGTTACCTGGCAATGGTGATTGCAGCTTGTGTGTTGAATTTTCATAGAGCCCTTCCTCTCTTTGTGATCACTGCATTGGTCATCTTCTTTCTTGTCTGGGATTCCTTGATGGCTAAATATGCAGATCGACTTGATGAGCTCCTGTCTCCGGGAAGAAGACTTCTGAACCAGCATTGGTTCTGGCTGAAGTGGTAAATGCAGTTGGTTCTTTTATTCCAGTGGAGAGGCATCTTAATTTTTTTCCAGCACTGTTCCAAAATCAGTCCTTTGTTAGTTTCCCCCACCTACAGGGTATGGAAGTTAGAAACTGCCTAGAAAGAATTTGTTTTGTAACACCTTCATTTTATAAAGAGGAAATCAAGGCCAAAATAAGGCAATGATTGTGTTCAATTGCCCCTCCAGGTTTCAAATGCAACTGTGATCAAATGTCCCAAAGATCGTAATTTAATAATTTCCACATTAAAGAGAAAACGATGTACTTGTCATTCAAGTAGTTGTTAAAAAAAAATAAGTAAATAAAATATATTTAAATTATTTTAAAGAAATATATTTAAATTATTTTAAGAAAATAGAGCAGTGCAAGGATTTCCTCCTAAGTGAAGTCCCATGTGATGCAAGGAACACACACATCTGCTAACAAAAAGAATGGCGATTCACAGTCACCCAGAGGCACCTGGTGACCTGCTTCCAGAAAATCAGCCTTTGGAGACCCAGTGGAGCCCAGTTCCACTCTCACTCACATGGAGTCACCATGAGTTAAAATTAACGCTACAGCAGCCTGTTTATCTCTTACACCTTTATTCCTCTCTGATGGTTTTGTATAGCCTTGAGGTCCAAGAGTTCTGGAACATGTGGGGGGTAGGGATGGGGGAGCCATCTTCTGTATCTATCTATGGCATGGAGTATCGGTCATCCCTGGTAGCTGGGCATGGGATGCCAGTGGCCCTACCTTCTTACTTACATATTTTAAGTTCCATTGGCATGCACAAGTCCTTCTTGAATGTAATCAGTTCTGTCTTTCCTTTCCTTTATGATTTATTCCTTCATTTTCAGCTAACGTAGTACCATGTAGTGGAAATCATTAAAATACAAGTTTGCTTGACTTTATGTTATATGTTCATGACCTCAATTCCAGGGGTCAGTTCGAATGTAAAGCACAGCTTAGTACAACACAACTTGTGTCCCTAATCTGAGAAAAGGAAAACACCCCATGGTGGATCAAGGGAGATGCATCGCTTACCTCTTTGGCTGTTTGCCTTGGTAACCACAACAAAAGAGTGTGTAGTACAGTTTCTAGAACTGCAACTTCCTGCTGCCAGAGCATGTTCCTGTTGCTAATAGTACTGAGTAGTTTAAGCTCCATGACAGTTTGTTTCTCTTTTCCAAGTTAGGACAACAAATGACGTCAATGCCTCCTTTCTCATTCTCTTAGGGTGATTTGGAGTTCACTGATCCTGGCAGTGATTTTCTGGCTGATCTTTGACACAGCCAAGTTGGGCCAACAGCAGCTGGTGTCTTTTGGTGGCCTTATACTGTACATCCTCCTGGTATTTGTATTTTCCAAATACCCCAACAGAGTAAGTATGAAACTGGACATTTTGGAGTTTGTTGTGGTGGTTTGGTTTGTTTGGGGGTTTCTCTTCTTATCCCATATAACTTGCTCAAGATAATTCTTGTGAGAGAATCTCCATATTATTCACTGTTAGTCTTACCTTGTTGTTGTTGCTGGGTGCCGCTGAGTCCGTTCGGACTCACATTGACCCTGGGTACCGAGAAGGAAACCGCCCTGTCCTGGGCTGTCCTCAATAGTCCCTTTATTTTCCAACTCATCCTTCAGTCACTGTGTCAGTCCATCTCTCTGAGGGCCTTCCTCTTTTTTGCTGGCCCACTACTTTACCAAACGCAGTCTCATTTTACAGGAGGCCTATCCTTCCTGCTAACGCATACCAAGTGCATGAGACAAGTTCTCACCACCCTCCCTTCTAGGGAGCATCCTGCCTTTGTTTCTTCCAGTCAGAAATTATTCTGGTGTTCATAGTATATTTACTATTCTTCTCCAACACCATAATTCAAAGGCATCGATTCTTTTTAAATCTTCTTTATTCATCACCTCGTTTTTATATGCATATGTGATGTTTTAAAAATGTGTGGCAAAAAAAAAAGTATGGCGTGGGTCAGGAGCAACTTAGTCTTCAAAGTGACATATGGGCTTTTTAACACTTTGAAAAGGACTTTTGCAGCAGATTTTCCAAATGCCATATGTTGTTTCATTTCTTAAATGCTGCTTCCATGGGTATTGATTATGGATCCAAATAAAGTTAAATCCTTGACAACTTCATTTTGTCTCCATCATCTATCTTGATGTTGTTTATTGGTCCATTTGTGAGGATTTTGTTTGTTTGTTTTCTTTATGTTGAGGTATAATCTCTACAGAAGTCTTTGATCTGGTTCAAGCCCCCTTAGCTTTCAGCAAGCAAGGTTGTATCATCTGCATATTTCAAGTTGTTAATGAGTCTTCCTCTGATTCTGATGCCAAATTTTTCTTCATACATGGGGGAAACCCCCCCAAAAAAGAACAAAATATTTTTTCAAAGTGATGTATTAAATTTTTTTTTTAACAATACAACTTTATCACCTTCAAAGTACTCCCCATTGCACTTAATACATTTGTCAAATCTGCAATTCCATTCTTGGAAACATTTTTCAAACTCATCTATTTAGATGTGCACCTGCCTTGTTTTTTCTTCACCTCTTCTAAGTCATCAAATCGCTGTCTTTTCATGTCCCTCTTCATTTGTGGAAATAAAAAGAAGGTGCAGGGAGCAAGATCTTGCTTGGAGCAAGAGAGGCATGCTGTTTTTCTGCCAAAAATTGGCTCACTGAGATGGTTGTGTGAGGAGGTGCATTGTTGTGGTAGCAAAACAAGGCCTCCCCACCCCCCAAGTCTGCCACAAATCAGGCCTTTTTTGTCACACACTGTTACACAATATTTTCAGAACCACTAAATAGAAAGCTTGATTAATAGTCTGACCTGGTGGAACAAACTACAAATGCACTACAAGTTGACATTTTGATCCATTCTGGAAGTTGATGCATGTGCAGAACAAGGTTTGTCATCAGTTGACATTTCACCTTTTTTGAAACAAAAAAAACCACTCGGATGGGAAACGACTTTTTCCCATAGTCTGCGGCATTTTTCCCAAGCAGAAAACAAAATTTCTTTGTGTGTGTGTGTGTGTGTGTGTAAGAGAGGACTTTATATCAAAGAGCAATTGTATATTAAGAAAATATCCCAGCCCAGTCCAGATCAAGTCCATAAGTCTGATCTTACCCCATATGTCGATACTAGCCCATAAATTCCTCTTTCAACTTACGCAGCCATTCATTGAGGCTGAAGGCAGGAAGATCATGGACTAGTGTGTAGAAAGTCATGTGGATCCAGTGGTGGTAGAATCATCTCAGCACTGACGTGGGTCTCCACATGACTCCAGGGCTCTGGCTCTATCAATGTAGCTCCATCAGGCTTGTCATCAGGAATCTCTCCCAGGGAGAGAGTGTATCTGGCCTCCAATAAGCTATTTATCTCCTTAGCACCTCCAAATGAGGTCATCAAGCTACGACCTGATTGACAGGCTAAACACCCCTTCACTCATAATAGTCTCAAGTTGACAATAGATCATCTAACTACCACACCCACCCACATGCCAGGATCTCTCCTACACATCTGCCTCTCTGATAAACACTCAAGCTCTGTTTGTGACGACAAAGAAATAAATTCATGGTGCTAGATGAATGGACAGAGTCATACAACATTGAGAAATCTTAGAAAGCCACAGTGCCCGTGTCATACTCCATGAAGAGTGAACCACATCAGACCCATATCTTCCTCTCAGCTATTCTTTTTTTTTTTAATCATTTTATTATGGGCTCATAAAACTCTTATCACAACCCATACATACATCAATTGTAAAAAGCACATTTCTACATTCTTTACCCTTATCATTCTCAAAACGTTTGCTCTCCATTTAAGCCCCGGGCATCAGCTCCTCATTTTTCCCCTCCCTCCCCGCTCCCACCCCCCTCATAAACCCTTGATAATCTATAAATTATTATTTTGTCATATCTTACACTATCCAACGTCTCGCTTCACCCACTTTTCTGTTGCCCATCCCCCAGGGAGGAGGTTATATGTAGATCCTTGTAATCAGTTCCCCCTTTCCACCCTACCCTCTCTGGAAACAAAATTTCATAGCCAAATGCTGTTCTCTTAAATTAGCCATCACAGAAGGAAAAAAAATGTTGAAGAGAAACTGTTTTTATGAAAACAATTCACTGTGACCAGAGAGAATTTTCCCAGGTGATGCCACTGGGTGCACTAGCTCAGAGTGAGTTGCTGGATGCTCACTTAGCGGGGAAAATGTGTATTACAAAAGCTTTGCTCTGTCCAGTGAAATTCTAGCTTTTTTCTTTCTTTTTTTTCTTGCGGGGAGGACACTCCAGATTCTCAGTTTAGGTTGTTAATGAGATTTAGAAGGGTTAAGGTACCAGTCTTCCCAAACCTACACAGTATCATCCCTTACATTTTTCATTCTCAGTAATTTTCCACTTACACAACCCATGAGATATTCTTTCCAATTTCTGTTCATGTACATGTACCCTACATCAAGCTCAGGGACACACACAAAGGCCATCCACTTTGATCCAGATTCCCGCAGACTAATAAATAATATAATATTCTGTCACTCAATTCTGCAGCTTATCAAATTTCCATTTTGTAATACAGACATTTTTACTCCAAACATGTCATTAATTTCATTTAGCAACTTTGCTCACAATGCATCCAATTCTCATCTTTGTTCTGCAAACCCTAACCAATTATATACCAGAGAATTCTGAGGCCATGAAGATTTCACGTACAACTCAGCAACAGGGAAGTCTAGGTTTTTACCGTCAAAAAGTTTGACCTAAGAAAATCTATGTTGTTGAGAGACCACAGTCACCAGATATGATTCAAATTCTTTGCTCTGTTCCATTGACCAACTCCATTGTTTCCTGTGGCACAATCCCACAATCCTTTGCAAGCCACTCATCTCAGCACCAATAAAAGCAGGTTGCCCCTTACCTCTGCTCTCAGCTGGGTCTGCATCAGAGTTAATTGGCTCCTTTCACCATGAAATGTAAGCTACTCCACAGGACTGAATTCCACTTAATTCACTTACAAATTGTCTGATTGTCAATCCTTGGACACAAAGAGAAATTATGTTCTGCCTCTCCATTTCCAGAAATAATTACATGTGCCTTATATTTACTGAATGACAAGGAAGGCCAGTTCCTTCTTCCCTTAATGTCCCTTCTAAGACTACTCTTTGTGTCTGTTATTTTACCATGATGTAATGGTCACATATTTCCTCTGGGGCTGGCAGCTTTGAAGTGCAAGCCTGAGTTTTTCAGATCTTATTCATTTCCGATGCACCCCTGCCATCAAGTCAATTCCAACTCAAAGTGACAGGACAGGGTAGAAGTGTCCCTGTGGCTTCCGAGGATACACCTTTTTGTGGGAATAGAAAGCCTCACATAACCCACTGTGCCACCAGGGCTCCTGTTTTTCCAACCCCTGATGTCCCTACAGAACAGAGGGGAGCTGCTCAGAGTTTCCGAAGCTATAAATGTTTGTGGGTGCAGAAAGTCTCATCTTCCTACCAGGGTGATTGGTGAGTTCAAACCCAATTCAGAACCCACTGTGCCACAGGAATCAAAGGAGATGGGACTCTTGGTGAGGAATCTTGGTCCTCCAGTAAAATGGCTTTTGCCTGGATTCCATTGCCTCTGGGAATGGATTTGACGGATTCTGTCATAGTCCTCTACTCGTGGCTAATTTGGTTTTCCTAAAAAGGTGGCTCACAGGTAGCATCTGAGCCTTCTGCAGGCCTCTTGTTTGCTTTCAGGAAACAGTGACCTGAGCATGTACGCCCCTCAGAATTGACCTTATTCTAACACAAAATATCTTTCTTGATCTTTGCCATAGGTGTACTGGAGACCTGTTTTTTGGGGTATTGGGTTACAGTTCCTTTTGGGGCTCTTAATTCTGAGAACAAACCCTGGATTTGTGGCTTTTGATTGGTTGGGCAAGCAAGTTCAGGTAAGTCTGGCTTACAAGAACACCTGGCTTTTATGATGGTTTTAACATTTGGATGTAATCCTCAGCCTGTCAGACAGGTTTCCTTGTCTTTTTTATTTAGCCCAAAGTTTGAATCTATAGCCTGAGCGGGGCAATTTTATTTACACAGAAAGAGTTCATCTGTTTAGCTTATTCATTAATATTTTTACTGTCCCTCCCCCATATTTTCACTAAGCCATTCCTCTATCCCTCTATCCCCCTTCCTCTTGCCCAAGGGCATCAAACTTCTTGAATAGTCCTGCAAGCATGTACATATGCAAATATATTTATATGAGGATGGGGAAATAGATCTATGAGCCTATATTTATAGGTTTAGT